CTCGTGATCCACCCGCCTCGGCCTCCCAAAGTGCTGGGATTACAGGCTTGAGCCACCGCGCCCGGCCACTTTCTTTTTCTCTTAATTTGGGATACACCCTATATGACATATTTTTTAAACATTGTGTTCATTATATGTATATAATTTTATTTCCTTTATCAGCTTTCAATTGCTCAAGCAAAATGAATGCATTCATGTTAGAAAAACTATGCAGAGGTCTTGATGAGAAATGGTGGCATGTAGGATAAAGCAGTCATTGTAGGAGTAGCAATAAGTGGATGTAACATGGATGCCTACTAATTGAATACTTATGTATAATACAATAATTATTTAAAAGATAAGGATTATGATTGCGTGTGAGAAAAATTTGATGTAGATAGCTTCAAGGTCTCTAGATTGAGATATTGATTGTGTTGTACTGCCATTTGTTGAGTTGGAACCTATTATAGGAGAAACAGGTCTGGGGCAATAGAAAGACAAATGGAATACTTCGGAACATACTGACTTGGATGCACATGTAGGATTTCTAAGTGAAGATTACAAGCATAAGATAACTAATTTTTTTTTTTTTTTTGAGACGGAGTTTCACTCTTGTTACCCAGGCTGGAGTGCAATGGCGTGGTCTCGGCTCACCGCAACCTCTGCCTCTTGGGTTCAGGCAATTCTCCTGCCTCAGCCTCCTGAGTAGCTGGGATTGCAGGCACGCGCCACCATGCCCAGTTAATTTTTTGTATTTTTAGTAGAGACGGGGTTTCACCATGTTGACCAGGACGGTCTCGATCTCTCGACCTCGTGATCCACCTGTCTCGGCCTCCCAAAGTGCTGGGATTACAGGCTTGGGCCACCGCACCCGGCCAAGATAACTAATTTTTAAACTGAGAAGAGAGGAATATTTTAAAAAATTATACACTTTATAATCTTCAACATAGGGGTCACAGTTAAAGCCATGCCACTGCGGAAATCTTCCAGGTACATTTTGTACACGAAGAAAGCAGCAGGCATGGACGCATGGGTAGAGCACTGCAGAATTCCAACACTCAAGGGACAGATAGAAAAAAAAAAAGAGTGAATACTGAGGTTGGAGGAAAAGAGTCATTTATCATGTCATGAAAGAAAAGGATTTTGGAAGAAGGATACAAATGTTTCCATGAAGTCTCAAAAAATGAATCATTCAATGGTTTAGGCAGGGATAAGAAAGCTATTGTACAGTATTGCCAGGAGAGTGGGCTTCCTCTGCTGGTATATGCCTTCTTTGTGGAACAAGAGGAGGGTTTTACCTTCCTTTCATGAGACAAATTGACACAGTAAATTATTGGGGACTGCCTTTTCTTGAAAATTTCTCCAACCTAGGAATGTCTGAAGGGGCAGATTAAACCACCTACACCTTATGGAGAAATGTTCTCCACTTCTTCTTTATGTTCGTGAGCTTTTCTATAAGAGTAATGGCAACCCAGGCAGATGTTTTAGTGAGGGGGTTAGAGGGAGAAGCAAGGAAGAAAGAGACAGCATTGTCTACTTAGGTTTTAGAAACCAAGCCTGCTTTTGTTAAACTTCTTGTGATCCTCTACAGTTGTTATTTCAGTTCCCCAGAACAGGAGACTTCACAATGAATTTTTGCTTCAAATCTCTGACTAGTAGTAGTGTTTCTCTGCCTACTGTTATTTTATGCATATATTTTGTTAGAAAACTTGCTGGGTTGCTGAGAGGTAGGCAAGACTGGTTTAAGTCATGTGTCTTGTATTTTTAGGAAATAATGCAATACCATTTTTATTATGGCTTAAAATTATAACTCGAAGTTTGACACATCTTATTGTAAATAGAAGAAGGATAATTTATCATTTCCTAGAGCTGAAAGTGAGGGGATAATACTGGAGAAGGAGCCTTCTGATCAGGGGCAGATCTTTGCAGATCACTGTAACAATCGGTCCTACAGCTTTTGTTTTCAGTTCATGTGAACAAATAATCGATGACCATAATGGCGACATTCAACTTGAGCAACTTCAATCCAGGCCCATTCATCCTACTGGGAATTCCAGGGCTGGAGCAGTTTCACATCTGGATCAGGATTCCTTTTTTTACTACCTACCTTGTGGCCCTTGCAGGCAATAGTGTCCTTCTCTACCTCCTTTCTATGGAGCAGAGCCTCCATGAACCCATGTTCTTTTTCCTTTTCATGCTGGCTGCTACAGATCTCATGCTGTCTAATAACATGTTTACCAAAAATGTTCAGCATCTTCTAGCTGGGTCCTCAGGAAATCACCTTTCCTGAATGTCTTACTCAGATGTTTTTTTTCTCTGGAAAAACTTTGCCATGGATTCTGTCATCTTGCTGGCCACGGCGTTTGATCATTATGTTGCGATTTGCTTCCAAGATACACCGCTGTTGTCACTCATAAAACTATCACTAAGATTGTGATGGGTATCATCAGCAGGAGCTTTTGTATCATCTCCCCACTTGTGTTCCTATTAAGGCAACTGCTTTTTTGTAAAACACTCATCATTTCCCACACATACTGTAAGCACACAGGCATTGCCCAGCTTGCCTGTGTGGAGATCTCTATCAAGATCTGGTATGGCTTTGCTGTGCTTATGATGACTGTCATGTCAGACTTGATTTTCACTGGCATCTACATTCTTATCCTTTGTGCTATCTTCAACCTTCCATCCCGGGATGCCTGCCAGAAAACCCTCAGCACATGTGGTCTCATATTTGTGTTATTCTTATATTCTATACACCAGCCATATTCTCTGTCCTTGCCCACCATTTTGGTCACAATATTCCTCACTCCTTCCACATACTATTTGCCAGCCTCTGTGTAGCCATCCCCACTGCCCTCAATCCAATAATCTATAGAGTGAAGACCAAGCAGATTCGGGACAAAATCATCCTCCTCTTTTTCCTCTAAAGGGAGCCAGTGACAAGAAGCTGGATGCATGGGAAAGAAAATAGGTAATCATGTTTATTTTTTAGTATTTCTTGTTTTTTAAAAGCTGGAATTCTTACAACATTGACTTAAATGTATATGAAATCCTGGAAATCCACTAAGTGTTACAGGAAGCAGTGAGACAAGATAAATAGGTAGATGTCAAGAGAAGCTAAATAAAATTTGAAGAAGGAATGCTTGTATAAAAGGATCAGAGGGAAATTTATATCTCATATTCTGATAAGATTTCCAAGATTTAGAAGATAGCATGTTGATCATATGTAACTAGTTATTTTCTGAGACTGGGTCATTCTTTCTTTGAAGACTTTTGGCACAATGTTATTTTCTCCCAAACACACACACACACACACACACACACACACACACACACACACACCTCTAGTCATGATTTTTGATGATTTTAGTGTCTATATAGATGATACTTTAATAATTTGATATGGTAGATGGCATTATCCAAAGATGGCCATAGCAATATTTTCCACCTTCCATGCTTTTTTGCATTGTGAACTTCTTGCCATTTCTGCATCAATAAAGTCCAATCCCCTTTCTCTTGAATCTGAGTTAGGCTTAGGAATTCCTTGAAATAGCATTTACCAGAAGTAACATTCTGGAGCCTCTGAAGTTAGGTCATAATAGCCTTTGCAGTTTCCACCCCAGTCTCTTAAAATGCTTAATCTTAGTAGGCTCCCTTTGAAACCAAACTACTGCACTACGAGTGTCCTAAGCAATATGGAGAAGTCATATTTAAATATTCCGGTGAGTAGCCCCAGTGGATATCCCAGCCAACAGCCAACAACTGTTATCTATGTCAGTAAGCCATCTTGGACATTCAGTCCAATTGAGATATCAGACATCTGGAGCAATAACATGAAAAATTGAAAAGTATACGTAATAAACAGATGTATTTGGCTAAGGAGATTTCAAAGCAAAGTACTGGAAGTACCAACACAATTTTTATGCTACATATGGTAAAGGACATGTGGGGAACACTCCCGTGTGAGACCCCTAAAAGGCGTGAGTCTCACTATACGGTGAGTTTGATCCCAAACACAGTTTCCTACTGGAGGCAGTCGAGCTATCCGGAATATAGGAACTGAAAGATGATTGATCAGTTTCTAATATCAACCACAATATCGTTTGGGCCTAAAACTATGCGTTGCTGCTAGACCGAGTGACCCCCTACCAGCAACCAGTTCCTGCTTTTTAACCTTTTTATGACTCTCTCTTTAAGAATAAGTTTTAACCTTTTCTTTACTTACCTGACTGCCTAATGGTTTAACTGTCGATATTTGCAAAGCAAATGCCACCATAAGGGATGGCTTTGATTCCTGACTCAGAGATTCCTGAATGGGGAAATTGAGTTAAGTTGAGTTAGGAGTAGACAAAGGAGAATCCGGTTAAAGAGATATTCTGATGAGCAAAACCAGAAAACCTTTTCACATCTCAGTTCTAAAACAAGATCAAACCGGAGATACCTGCAGCCAGGAGGAATAATGTCTGGATGCAAACAAGCTTTGTGATTACAGGAAATTCTATTACTTTTTACAACCACTGATTGTGTATCAGACTTTTCAATTGTATAGGCCATGTAAGGTATACATTTGCATTTCCTCTTGCAACCATTGTGTATCTGATTTCTCTATTGTATAGGCCATGTGAGGCATACATTTACATTCCTCTTGCTATGACGTAAACCAGAGCCAAGAAAGTGTATTTATTCCTGGCATTTGAAAAATAAAATTGGCTGTTTAGGCACAGCCTATCAGCCCTCCAGACGCCTCGCTTTCTCTCTCTCTGTCTTTATTATTTTCTCAGGCGCACTCCCTCTTCCAGGTATTGGGACCCTCTTGCAGGTCGAGAGACCCCCGGGCAGACGTGCCTACCCGTCCCGGACGGTCCACGACATCTGGCGACCACGACGCGGGGCCTGGACACGAGGGATTACAGTGACGCACATCAATTAAGGAGTGAGGCTGCAGCAGTAAGTTTTTGAGGTGTTTTCTTAATCGTGTATATACAAGTGTTGATTTTCAAGTTTTCGGTCTGGAGTAAAACATGGGGCATTTAGAGTCTAAGGAATGTAATATGTTCGTACAGCTTTTACAGTCAATGATTAAGTCGCATGGTTATGATATTAAGATGAAAACTGTTGAAGAATTTGTGCACATTGTTAGGGAAATGTGTCCATGGGTCCCTGAAGGTGGCTTTCTCGATGAAGCCACATGGAACGTCATAGGAGAGAAAATCGATCAGTTTTGTTTTCTTAATAAGTCTTTGCCTCAATGTGAAGTTTTGCTTTCTGTTTGGCCTAAACTACGAGAATGTGTTTGTCCTTCTAAAAGTCTTCCTCCTTCTGCCCCTCCCTACACTTCTGTCTCTCCCCTGCCCTCTGGTGCTGCCACACCACCCGCCGTTATACAACCGCCTCCTGAGGCTCCCCCTCTTCCACCTGATCCTCATGAGTGGGCAGAATGTGGGTCTAACTCCTCACATGTAGAATATCCACCTTTGGATAACTTTGAAACTCTGACAGAGGTTCTTGTGGACGAAGCGCGTGCTCCTGACAATACTCCTCAATGGACTCCTGGACCGGTAACTTTTACCCTCCCACCCAATCTTGCCCAACAATTCCAAGACTTACTTTCACTCTGCTCTCGTGCTCTCTCTACCCAACAGCAGCACTGTTTTCCCGTTCACGACAGGACATATAAAGAAATATGAAGTAAAAAATGAAATTGTTTAATGTTCAAACAACATTCAGAGTAAATATAAAGGTGTCAGATCTGGCTGGGTTCAAAGAAAAAATTAACTGTCTCCACCACCGGCTTCTCCAATGACAAAATATTCTCACAGTGAAAAATGGTCCCAGGGTGTAGTATCATCTCCAGAAAAAACCTGTAAGATCCTTTGCTAACGATAGAGAAATAGAGGTTTTCAATTAGACAAAGAAGCTTCTAAGAATCTTTAGAGTATTTTTTCAGAGTACTGTAACTGTCAGATAAAATCAGAAAGATAAAAATCTGAAAGGTATTTGTTGGTATGACTTTTGCCTAATAGAGTAAACTCTAAAATTTTTGTAGCAAACTCAGTTTTTAAGAAAAATGTACAGATATAAGTACCATGAACTTTGGCGGAAAAGGCCATAGTCATTGCAAAATAAAAGAAGTTTTTAGGTTTTTAACTTTATTAAGCAGGAAGAAATTTGAGAAAGCTACTCATATGTAAATATAGGTCATTTTCTTTCTTTTTTTTTTTTTTTTTTTGCTACAAAAGTGAGATGAGTAGAATATAGAGTCAATTTCCCTGTGGTTGTAGCCAAGCCATGGATAATTATTCCCAGGGAGCAGGATTGGGTCCGTATTAGGAAACTGGTGATATATTTCTGGCTGTACTTTAGAATTATAATAGACAAGTGGGGTTACATACCTTTTCCACTATTTCACATACAAGTATCTATTGCAGTTGTTCTATCTCTGTATCACAATTGTATATTGGCTGTGTAGGATGCAAATAACTTATTTAATTTACTTCACAGCTCTTCAAACCGAAAGAAGCTGTACTCATGGTGCTGTATAAAAGGAACTGAATTCAAAGGGTCTTCACACTTTATCCTGATTTTGAGGCTGAGCTTCTGGGGTTCAAACTGATCCCATAATGAGAAGGAGACTTTGGGGTCTTCAAGAAGAGACAAATGTATTTTGCATATATGAAGATTTGTGTATTGTGACCAGAGGGTACAATGTTGTTGGTTTTATTTTTCAAAAATGACAAAACAATATTTTGCATCACATACATTTTTCTGCAATATCGCCTCACCACTCTTCTAATAGGTAAAGTCTAATTTGTCTCCCGATTTTTCTTGTCTGCCCTTAGCAATGTTTTTGAAAAGTAGATGTGACATTTGGGGATATTTGAGGCAAGATTATAAGACATCTTACAGCTTTGTCATTGATGTTTTTGAATACGTACTTTTTGGGCGCTATAGAACACAAACATCATGCTGTGATAATCTAAAACCATATGGAAAGGTCATGTGGTTGACAGCTTTAGCTGAGCTCCTAGTCAACAGGACCAGTGCTAGGCTTGACTAGTACTTCTGATTATAGCCACATTAGACAGATATCCCAAGTGAGAAATGCCCAAATGACCTCAGAAAAACCTATAGCATCATAAGGGATAATAATATATTGTTTTAAAATCATTGTTTGGGAGTGGTTTGTTGTGCAACAATAGTTGACTAGAATAATTTGATTCTTAGTACACTGATCTTTCTTCCAAAGGTCTTGATCACTGTGCCCCATCTACTTAATTCCTTGGAAATATTTCTGGAATGCAAAGGATTGCTGAAGATGCCCCAAGGAATGCCTACAGCAAAGCCATTGGCCTGGGACGAAGGTGAGAAACTAAAAACCAGAAAAAGGCCAGAGATAGAATATGAGGCTGCTAACACTATTTTGCCAGTGTATCCATCAACAGAAGTTATACGTCTGATGCCTTAATTGGCATAATTACTCCAGCCACACAATAAACATCTCCCTGCCTCCCACACCTACACATACTTGGGGATGAGGGCCTTTAGGATGCCCAAATGCCTAGTCCCCAATCTAGTGACAGATTCAACTTTTTTTTTTTTTTTTTTTTTTGAGACGGAGTTTCGCTCTTGTTACCCAGGCTGGAGTGCAATGGCACGATCTCGGCTCACCGCAACCTCCGCCTCCTGGGTTCAGGCAATTCTCCTGCCTCAGCCTCCTGAGTAGCTGGGATTATAGGCACGTGCCACCATGCCCAGCTAATTTTTTGTATTTTTAGTAGAGACGGGGTTTCACCATGTTGACCAGGTTGGTCTCGATCTCTCGACCTTGTGATCCACCCGCCTCGGCCTCCCAAAGTGCTGGGATTACAGGCTTGAGCCACCGCGCCCGGCAGATTCAACTTTTTTTAAAAAAATAAATTTTATTGTATATATTTAAGGTATACAACATGATGTTATAAGATACCTATATCTGTAGTATAAGCATGTTCCACTATTGTGGAACACATTAACATATTCATTGTCTCACATAGTTATCTATTTTTCCCCTTGTAGCAAAAGCAGCTACAATCTACTCATTCAACAAAAATCCTGGATACAATATACTGTTATTAATGATATTGCCCATGTTGCATATTAGGTATTTTAACTTGTTCATTCTACATGTTTTCTATTTTGTAGCTAATATCTCTATTTCCTCTCTGTGGCCCGAACCCTGGTAATCATTTTATCCTCTATATGTTTTAGACATCTCCTGTTTCCAAATTTCACATGTAAGTGAGATCATGTGGTATTTGTTTCTCTGGGATGGGCTTATTTAATTTAGTATAATCTTCTCCAGGTATATCTATGTTATGTCAAATGACAGGATATCCTCCTTTTTTAAGCCTGAATAATATTTCATTGTACATATACACCACAGTTTATTTATTTATCCATTGATTCAGTTTTAACATCACCCCCTCTCTCCTCAAACTCCTCCAAGAGTGGCAAAGACTGGAACATTTCCTGAATTCCTCAGATTAATTACTCTCATCTCTTGGGAGCTCGGGCAACCTCCAGGGTCCGTTTTATACATAATAATAGTTGTGCCTTGTGTGTTGGGGAGAGGAAGAGCTAATGCTGGGCACCCTGAGGAGCTTTACTTAAGTTACTTAAAGGGCCACACCATTTATTTTGGGCACCCAGAAGTGAAGTGTGGAGAGATGCAGGGCTATGAGTGTGCTCTCCAAGAGCCATATGGGTGTTTGGTAAGGTATACCTTCATACATATGTACACACTCACACATACATTTGCAGAAGGTGTCTGGACCAGCTGCCTACCCTCTCATTGCCTCCCTTTCAGGTAAGTGGTTCTAGATGAGGGTGGGCTTTATATTCACATTCTGGTTTCAACTGTCCAGCACCCCATTACCTACTTCATTCTTCATTGTCAATGCACCATTCTCATCAATAATGTTCCCACTTCCTCATATCCTGTATCTGCTGAAAATGTGGATTCCTTTATTTTTGGATGCAGGATTCTATTATGAGCTTTTAAGTTACCTTAATTTAAAAAAAATCAGTTTTGTTGAATACATTTCATCTTTTGGTTTCTGAGAGGGCTATATTGCATTTAGTCAGCTTCTCTTTCTATTCCATGCATTTTTGTTGCACATATCTCAAGTTCTATTCTTTATGTTGATACGTTTATTTCTTAATATTAAAATATATTTAATGAGATATTTATTTAATTAGAACCATTTTGTCTTTAATAAAAACATTTAGCATAGAATATATCCTCTTGAATATTAATGCAGTTATACCTCATTATTGCTACTGTACTATTACAACTGTACTTTGTGATCTATAACATGATTTCAGAAACATTTTTGTGTATAACATTTCAATCTCTGTTTTCCACTTTGAAGTTCTTTTTAAAATTGAAGCTCATGTAGCCTCTTTATTGTTCTTCATAGGTACTTCAGCAGGGTGCCACCATGATTGCTTGCAATGCCTCACAGGGCCACCCTTCTTTCTTCATTCTCCAAGGCATTCCTGGCATGGAGGACAAACACAAATGGATAGCTATCCCCTTCTCCTCCATGTATTTCATTACTGTGCTTGGGAACTGCACCATTCTCCTCACCATTTCCACAGAGCGCTCCCTGCACAAACCCATGTTTCTGCTCCTCTGCCTGTTGGCCCTCACAGACCTGGGCATGTCTACAACCACTGTTCCCAAGGTGCTGTGCATTTTCTGGTTTGGCCAGAGTGAGATCAGCTATGAAGGCTGCCTGGTTCAGCTGTTCTTCATCCACTCCATCTCAGCCATGCAATCAGCAGTCCTGATGACCATGGCCTTTGACCGCTACGTGGCCATCTGCAAGCCCTTGCACTATGCCACTGTCCTTTCCAATAGCCGCATTGGACTCATTGGTCTAGTGAGTTTGGTGAGAGCTATCCTCTTTATTCTCCCCATGCCCATCCTCCTTCAGCAAATGCCCTATCATGCCAATCATGTCATTCCCACCACCTACTGTGAGCACATGGCTGTGGTGAAGATGGTTTGTGTAGATACTACACTCAACCGGATTTATGGCCTGGTGGTGGCCTTGTTGGTAGCTGGGCTAGACCTCTCAGCTATTGCTTCATCTTATGTGCTAATCATCCAGGCTATTTTGCGTCTCTCTTCTAAGGAAGCCCACCACAAAGCAGTCAACACCTGCACCACACACATCTGTGTCATGCTTATTTCTTATACTCCCTCACTTTTCTCTTTTCTCACTCATCGCTTTGGCCCAGGCATTCCACCCCATGTCCATACCATTCTTGGCAACCTCTACTTCCTTGTACCTCCAATGCTCAATCCTATAATTTATGGAGTGAAAACTAAGGAGTTCCGGGACAAAGTGACCAAATATGGTTGCTGGAGAAAAGTGCCCGCAACCACTGCCCATGGTCAGAAACTTGTCTGCTAATCCAGCATCTGTGAGCTTGAGGAAGGAATGTTAAGTAGATGCAGTTCCTGAGGAAATCAGCTAGTGATAGAAATGTGTTATATTGGCAGATTTAGCTGCCAAGATGTTTGTTGTTGGTCAGAGAGGCTAAGGCATAGGAGCCCTTTTGGTCTCAGTAACTCCAAAGCAAGGAAATTATCCCCACTGTGAAATGACATTTGCTCTCTATACCTGACACAGGGGTTGGACAAATTTCATGTTATAATGTCTGTAAAAGCACTTTGAACAACACACATACACACACACACACATATACACACACACACAACACACACATACACACACTGAACACATGTAAAATGAGATAGAATGTTTCCATGTGGTGAGAACATATGAGCAATCAGTAACTTGCCCACCTTCAAATCAATAAGTTGTAGAATGCTACTTACTTTGCCAAGATAAGGTTGAGCTGTGTGTGCAGGTGTGTGTGTGTGTGTGTGTGTGTGTGCATCTGTGTGTTCAAGAAGGTAAAATGGAGAAGATTGTTTGGGGGAGTAAAAAGGGATAATGAAAGTGCAAAATGGAATTTAGTCACTATGTTATCCTTACTGCAGAAAACTTACACTTGAGCAGCAGAACTTGTTGCTTCCTTATAAGCCTAGGGAATATGTACAGAAAACATAATCTGAAATTCCCAGAGAAATTTCAAAGGAAAAGGGGAAAATGGGAAACTATTCCTCTTAAAAGGTGGATATGCATTCTCACAAATTTTTATTTGTAACAGTTCCTAGAGTCAACTGTTCTGTTTGTCTCAACTAATTCCAGCATATGACAAGAATCTCTAGCAAAGAGAAAATTCTGAGGATGTTCTCTAAAGGGTCATGGTTATAAAAGTCAGTTTTATATTAGAAATCTTGGTTATATAACTCTGCCAGGCCATTTCTCTGGAAATCCAGGAAGAAATCATGAACAAGCACTTGGGGTGGTGTGTAGAGTTCAGATCGTGTGCCAAGATATGTGAACACATTAAGTTCAGGAGATATTGTTCATCACTTCTAGACATTGATTTGGAGTATAGTGTTAAACATTTTAAGACACATAAAGTTTGTGGCCCGAAATATTTTAGAGATTGTCCTCATATTGTACAGCTAATACATAAAGGCAGAATTCAATGAAAAAGATACTTACTTCAAAAGCCACATGACCACTATTTAAATGAAACTCTTAAAATGGCAGGAAAATAAATGAAACTTCTCCAGAATGTTGTTCTAGTTATACTAATAATTAAGGCTTCAAATAAACAAAAAAATTAATACCGTAAGCTGAGAAAGGTGGGATATTCAGAGCTTAAAATAAAAGTTCCAACCTTCAAGAGGGAAAAAAAAAGAGAATTGACTAGGAAGTGCCTTTTCTATAAATGCAAGACCAGAGATCAAGGAAAATTTGCAGGAGCATTAATGGCTGAGGAACAGAGTACTGCTTATCTGAAATAAGTATTAAGTAGATATTTAAACCTACAAAGAAAAAAAAGTCATCAGCAAAATGTTATGGTTAAGAATTTAAAGCAGCCTGAGGGAATCATTAGCTTGACGCTGTGGCAGCACTGAACTTCCTTTTTGTTTAAATCTTAGAGTGAATTTGCTTGTTCGTTTGTTTACTCTGGTTGGAATAGGATTGAGGGACAACAGCAGAGAGTTCAAATGCTATATGATATTAAGGTATCTCTCTCTCTCTCTTTCTTTCCCTTCCTTCCTCCCTCCCTCCCTCTGTCGGTCAGTCCCTTCCTCCCTCCCTCCCTCCCTCCCTCCCTCCTTTCTTCTTTCTTTCTTTCTTTTTCTTTCTTTCTTTCTCTCTCTCTCTTTCTTTCTTTCCTCATAATTTTTATAAAACTTATGTCACCATTCAACCCAATCCAACATGTATCTGTTCATACCTTTTTCTTCTGTAAACAAAAATCTTCAAGTATTGTCACTATAAAATGGAAACATATTTACACATGGTATTTTGAAATTTATTGTTTAACCTAACATTGTTTGGCATCAACCCATGATTGTGTATATATAAATTTACAGCTCTTTAAAAATTATCTTATAGTATTTTTTTAACCAATCCTGTATTAGTAGACATGTGCATTGACTCCATTTCTTCATTTGTATAAACAATACCATGTCTATAGAGCAGGGATTAGAAAACTGTGATATGTGGTTTAAGTTTGGTCTGCTGCCTGTTTTTATAAATAAAGTTTTATTGGAATACAGCCAGACTCATTTACTTACAGTATAATTTATGGCTGCTTTTGCACTAGAGTGGAAATGCTGATTAGTTGTGACAAAAACCATATCACCTTCAAAGCAAAACATGTTTATTCTCTGAAACTTCACAGAAAAATTAAAGGAATAAAGGAGCCAGAGACAAAGAGAGTGTGGGGAATAATTACTCACAGTTCCCTCTTCTCTTGCCCTCCAAATTCCTTTTAGTGTCCTATGATGGTCATATGAATGTGTTGCAGAGGCCTCCTACTATAGGGAGCCTAATTGACTGAAGGACCTAACTCCTGCAATTTGAAATCTATCATTGAATCTGAACCCAGGTGATGCCTCCCACTAGCTACTCTCCACTATGACTGAGTGTGGCGAGGATGCTGAAGGAAACCCATTACTGGGGAATGTGGGACATGTTGGTAGGCTCCTTGGTAAGCTGACTTTGGCTTTGCATCAGTCTAAGATACTTTGACCAAAACATCTCTTTCTTTCTTTTTAACTTGGGATTGAACTTATGTTATGATGTGGCTGCTGTCCCAATCTATGATGATTTGCTTCCTTATTTGCTTTTACACGGTGTTTCTTTGACTAAAATTCTTATATGGTAAATCCTATCTTGGCATCTGCTTTGCTCAAGAATCATAGTAATACTAGTAACATTGACAGTGGTACGAGTAGATAAGAAACTGGGACTTTCTGTCTGGCAGGCAGAGGATGCTCTCTTGATTGGTAGGTGGGGCAGGATGGTATCTGAGAAGAGGTGGTAGTTCAGTTGCTATTTCACCAGTGGAAGTAAAGGTGGTAAGTGCAATGATATAGCCATTTGAAATATATGGAGGAAGAATTGCCTACAAAAATAATAGAGTTTACTGATTACTGGTGACTTATTTTGATGTTGTTTTGAAAGATGAAAGTCTCAGAGCCACTAGTAATAGCTCATTGTAAGAACCAGAGAGCCTCAGTGGTGGTAGTTTATGAAGAGGCTTTTATCACTTATAGCAGAAGGGAATACACAGTCAATGGCAGGCTGAACACTTACTTGGGAGACTTACAGGGGTCCAGTGAAGTCTAAACATTCAACTAAAGTGGTTCTGTTATGTGTAGGTCAATATGTTGGTAAAGAAAAGCTAGAATTTTGAAAACTGGGACAGAATCATTATTATCCAGATGGGTGCTTCTGAAGAAAGCATTTTTTTTTTAATAGAACAAGAAGTTTATTACTCCCACTCAGTAGTTCCTGGGGGCTTTGATGTTAAGTCATACATAATTCGAGAAATACCAGGAATCTTCTTAATCTCAGTGACCATCTTTAACACCACCTCTACAGGGATCTCATTGCCAGGTGTTGCAGGTATACCAGTCATGAAATCACTAGTGATAAAGGTTCGAATAACTACAGATCTCTGGCATGAAGGCTGCTTTTGAAGTGGGTCCCAATCAAAATGTAATGGTGTCAAAATCACCGGCATCTGGCTGATTTTCCCAGCATACCCAGACTCCCTGAGAATGTTATGGGCCTCAAAATCAGCTTGGCGTAAAGTACTGAGCACACCTGTTGTCAAGAAAGTGGGAGTAACATCTGTAGGAGGTTCTTTAACTGGTGGGCCAAATATATAAACAACTCTGTTAACATTGTGACACATGCGAGGTATAAGCCTCGCCAGAAAAATAAGAGATTCCCAGTCAGGTTCATCTTTACTGGAGATTCCACACACGTAACTGTAGGAACGACAGTCACCCTGCACACCTACAGTTTTAATTGGCAGCAAGAAGGCATTCCGTGAATGCAGACTTGTAATTTGCATCAGCTTCTCCTGATCCTCTTCTGTTGTGCAGGCTTTGACTCTCTGTAATAGGGTATGTGGCTTTTTAACACTTGCAGAAAAATCAGCTACTATTTTCAAAATATTGTTGGTTTCAGGAAAGTCTTTACAAATGTAAGGTTCTTCAGCACATATTACTCTGATTGCCAGGCCAGGACCTGGAAATGGATGCCTGGAAACTAACTCTTCTGGAAGTCCAAGTTCTCTGCCCAAAATTCTCACTTCATTATTGAGTGGATACTCAATAATGTTTGCTGGACCTTCTAGACATGCAGAGATCTCTGCAGCAGTCTGTTATTACTTCTGTGCTAGATGTTGCTACAGAAACTTATGCTCCAAAAGACAACAGACACTTACAACGTGCTTCCTCCCCTTCTCCTGGCTGCCAGGCTTATAACTAAGACTTTATTACTGCATAACACAGCTAGGTACACTCTAGATCTCATCAGAGAATAAAAGAGCTATATATCTAAAGAATTACAAGAACTAGCTGGCATGTACTGGCAGGAGCCAAAGGCAACCCTTGGTTTTGGATTTTGAAGATGCTTGATTGAAAGTGCTAGAACATAAAGGCTAGATGAACAAAAATTAACTTACCTTCTCAGAAATAGAACGTTAAAAATTAGCATCCCTATTAAAGACTTAAAAGATGCCAAGGTTGTGGTGCCTATCACATATTTGTTTAATTCTGGTCCATGCAGAATGTAGATGAATCCTGAAGAATAACTATGGACTACTTTACACTTACATAGAAACTCTGATTGCAACTATTGTGCCAGATGTGGTATCACAGATAGATCAGCATACTTAAGGCCTGATGTACATAGGATGTAGTCATTGACTTGTATAATGTACTTTTCCTAATAATAGCTAATTGTAAGAATCAGACAGCCTCAGTAATGGTAGTATATAAAGTAATGGCAGTATATGAAGAGGCTTTTATCACCTATAGTGGAAGGGTGAGTTAGAAAATTGAATTAGAAAAGTGAATCACAAACAGTGTTCACATGGGACAAGCAATATTCATTTACAGTTCTGTTTCAAGACTATGTTAACTCTCCCACCCTATGTTATGACAGAGTCCACAGAGATCTAGACTGCTTGACATCCCACAAAATATCACGTTGATCCATAACATTGACAACATCATGTCGAATAATTGGCAAGATGAGTGATACTGCCTAAATATTATTATAGGACTTTCTCAAATACAAGCACTACAGAGGTAAGAGACTAATCTTATGAAGATGCAAGCACTTGCCACTTTAGTAAAGTTTTTCAGTGTGCAGAGATCAGGGAAATACCAAGATATCCCCTAAAGAGCAAAAGTAAAGTTGATGTATTTTGCATACTCTCCTCCAACTCCATGAGGAAAGAAACACAGAGCTTGATAATACCCTTTAGAATCTGAGTGACACATCCCACATGTAAAAATATTGCTTAAGTTCAAATACTCGGTGACGTAGGAGGCTGTAACTTTAACTGGAGGCCAGGAGCAGCAGGCTCAGGCCATTGTGCAATCATCTCTGCTGCTTGGGCCACATGATCTGGCAAACCTGTTATTGGGTATCAGTTGTGGGACAAGATGCAGGATGGAACTAATGTCAAGTTCCAGTAGGAGTATCACAATGAAGAATCATGGGATTTGGGAGTAAGGCCATGCCAACTGCAGAGGCTTGCTTGCCTTTTGATAAACAGCTCTTAGTGTATTATTGAGCCTTGGAAGAGATAAAACATTTGAACACGGACACTTTAGTAACCAGATTCCATGACGTCACCCAGTGACTCATGCTTCCTGGTACACAAGGCCTTTTTTAGTCCTGTTACACATTGTATCAGGGTTATTCTGCATGGTCAATAGAAAATGGCAGATATGACAGTAGATTATATCAGAGGCTAGGTCATAAAAGGTTTTGAATCTTTTTCTCTCTTCCTGGATTACTAACTCTTGGGAAAATCAGCTTCCATGGGCATACTCTAGTAGCCTCATGGAGAGATTTATGTGCTAAGAAACTAAGGCCTCCAGTTAACAGTCATGTAGGTATATATTCTGGCTAATGTTTTGTATTTTTTTGTTTGTTTATTTTTATTGCATTTTAGGTTTTGGGATGCATGTGAAGAACATGCAAGATTGCTGCATAGGTACACACATGGCAGTATGATTTGCTGCCTTCCTCCCTGTCACCTATATCTGGCATTTCTCCTCATGCTATCTCTCCCCACCTCCCCACCACCCCCTCCCTCCCCCATTTCCCCCCAACAGACCCCAGTGTGTAGTGCTCCGCTCCCCGTGTCCATGTGTTCTCATTGTTCAACACCCGCCTATAAGTGAGAACATGCGGTGTTTGATTTTCTGCTCTTGTGTCATTTTGCTGAGAATGATGGTTTCCAGGTTCATCCATGTCCCTACAAAGGACATGAACTCATCGTTTTTGATGGCTGCATAATATTCCATGGTGTATACGTACCACATTTTCCCTGACCAGTCTATCATCAATGGGCATTTGGGTTGGTTCCAGGTCTTTGCTATTGTAACCAGTGCTGCAATGAACATTCATGTGCATGTGTCCTTATAGTAGAACGATTTATAATCCTTTGGAATTTTAGTGGAGATGGGGTTTCACTGTGTTAGCCAGGGTGATATTGAGCTCCTGAACTTGTGATCCACCCACCTCAGCCTCCCAAAGTGTTGGGATTACAGGCATGAGCCACAGCACCCGGCCACTCCACAACTTCTTTATTCTATATTCTTGATTGTCTTTAAAAAGACAATATAAGCATAATAGAATGGAAAGATGTCTTATGATTAGATATATTAGGGTTAGAGTCCAGGTTAACTACTCACTACCAGTAAGTGTAACTTACATAAAGAAATTGAGTCTTTGTAACTTAATCTGCAAAATGGGTATTATTATATAATAACTTGAGTTAAATTTAAAATAATTCAATGAGATATTATATTTATAAATACCTAGAGTAACTATTATGGAGCCACCTAAAGAGATGGTATTTTTGCTGGAATTAATAGAATGTGAGGAAAATAATGTGGAACCCTTTATTTGTTCCTTTTCCAGGACAGAAATACCCCAACCTTAGCAGTTACCCTGAATTTTCTTAGAGTTTCCTATCATCCAGTATCTTCACCTGCTTTCCAATATTTGAATGCTATAATTCTTCTCCATCATTGGGATTATATTTTAATGAGAGCAGACTATTTAACACTTTATTTCTTTAGTTTTCTCTGAACTTTGCCATGCTAATCATGAAGGTGTTAGACATAAATCCTCTCTCAGTCTCCAACCTTCAGTGGGAGTTCTGGCTTATGAAGAACAAAAAGGTACAAAGAGTCTAACATAAAACAATGATCTGACTATATTATTCCATTCTCACACTGAGACTGGGTAATATATGAAGAAAGGAGGTTTAATTGGCTCATGGTTCTGCAGGCTGTACAGAAAGCATGACTAGGAGGCCTCAGAACACTTGCAATCATAGCAGAAGGCGCAAGGAAAGCAAGCGTGTCTTACCGTGGCAGAGCAGGAGACAGAGAGAGAGAGAGAGAGTGAAGGGGGAAGTGCTACACATTCTCAAACAACCAGATCTTGTGAGAACTCCATCACAAGAACAGCAAAGAGGAAATCTGCTGAAATGATCTGATCACCTCCCACCAGGTCTCTCCCCCAATACTGGGAATTACAATTCGATGTGAGAATTGAGTGGGGACACAGAGCCCAACCATATCCTGGCTTTACCTCTTTTCCTTCTCCTATGACAACCTTTCCCCATCACAGTCTCCATAGAAACACTTTCATAGTTAAGAATAGACTGGGCCATTTCTTGTCTAAGAGAATTGACAACAGGACTGACTGGTTACATTTTTGTTACTCTCTTACATAGATAATAGGATGTTTTCCTGCTTGTAGGCATCATCCTACTCATCTTCCTAGGCAAGACTAGGTGAAACCCAACAGAAAGGAGTGATCAGTAGAGAGCACCCTCTCTGTTCTAGATCACAGGAATTAAAGATGTTTTTAGAATTTATAGATTGCTTAGCTCACCACAGTAGAGAGGGGATAAGAATTCGTTAGAAGTCATGGCTATGGATAAAGAGTATATATGACACTTATTGTCCATGTCTATCTTTTGAAGAATCTCAAACTCAGTGATTTAGATTGAAAAGGAGTTTAGAAATACCCGGTCCTTTTTCCTGATTCTAAACTCAATAATCACATATGTTTAGATTGTGCTAAAGCTGTGATAATACTATGTCTCAGTAGTTCTTGTATTCCACAGTTTCAACTTAACATTTATTAATTTTAACTTTTATCTGATTAAATATCCAATCTTGTATTTGTCTTACTATGTTGTACAATTGATCCAATGATAAGTATGTATTTAAATGATTAGATAGAAATTTCACTCATTACAATGATTCAAAACATATCAACAAAGCAATGCTTCATCAAAACAATATGTTAGTCTTTGTGCATGACTTGAGTCACTGTGGAATGTCACTTTAAGAACAGGCGACTTCATGTTCACATAACGGTTATTTGAAGATGAATTTCCGAGTTACTGAAGTCTTTTGAATCAGGTATAAAAATACATGTTTTCCTTTGCAATAAAACTTTTTGAAGTATGTATCTCAGCAGTCTCTGAATTCAGTCTACATAGATCATCCTCAAATTCCTTCATCGTTGTCATCACATCCCTATCATCACTATCATCTGGTCAGCACTGTGAACATACCACATTGTTATTTCATTTAAAATATTCTTGATGAAAAGATCAATTGCCTGAAGAGTTATTACATGTTAAGGTGGTGTACTAAGATAATAAGTACACCACGTTCCTTTCAGCAAAAGGTACTAGTTAGAAACAAACACAGATAGTTTGAGAAATAGAAAATAGAAAGAAAACTGAAGCAAATATAAAGTCTCTATCAAGACAAGAAAACATGACCTTGGATCTTTGAAGAGCAATATTGTGTGTACTTGATGAACATGAACGCAGATGTGAATGTCATCAGGAGACCCATGCCATCAGTGTCCCTGGTAAACACGCATAGGAAGAGATAGCTTAGACATTCCTTTCTGTACTCCATAACTCAATGAAATTACAAATATACTGGTCCTTCTTGTAAATTCCACCAGCCCCCTCTCCCAAAAAAAAGAAAAAGAAAATCACTTATTCATGGTTTATTTTTTCCGCAGCCGATACGGAGATGCAACTGGGTATTGGTTGGTTGAGCAAAAGCATTTTCAGTTAACCTTATTATTCATTTTCTCACAGGTTTATTGCTGGGACTCACATTCTGTGCCATTCTTCTGTACAGGCATTTGGTCATCTTGCCCCTTATTTCCTTCATTTTTATACCATAGATGATGGGGTTGAGCATTGAGGGCAGGAGAAGGTAGAGATTGGCAAGGAGAACATGTGCATGTGGTGGGATATTGTGACCAATGCGGTGGGTGATAGAGGAAAAGAGTGCAGGCACATAGGTGACAAGGATGACAAAGAGGTGTGCTGAGCAGGTGTTGAGGGCTTTGCAGGTGGCATCTCGAGAGCTGAGGCGTACCACAGTCTGAAGGATAAGGGCATAAGAGAAGCCAATGAGCAGCAGATCAAGTCCCACCACAAGCAAGATCACGAAGAGCCCATAGACACAATTGGGCCTGGTGTGGTTACAGGCCATCTTCACCACAGCCATGTGATCACAGTAGGTATGAGGAATGGCCGTGTGGCAGAAGGTTAATCTTTGAAGTAGAAGAGGCATGGGCAAGACAAGGATCACACCCTTGGCAAGAGCCAGCAGTCCCAGGAGTCCAACTAAAGAATGGCTCAGAATTATGTTGTAGCGTAAGGGCTCACATATGGCAACAAAGCGGTCAAAAGCCATTGAAACAAGGAGGGCCGATCGTATCACAGATGATCCATGGATGAAAAACATCTGAGTGAAACAGGCATTGACAGCTATGTCCCCATCATTGAACCAGAAGAGGCAGAGGAGCTTGGGCACCACAGCCAGAGTGGATATGAGGTCAGCCACCATCAGTAGGGCCAGAAGCAGGTACATTTGTGAATGAAGTGTGGGCTCTGTGGCCACCAGGAAAAGGATAGAGCCATTGCCAATGAGGATAGTCAAAAACATGGAGAAGAAAGGAACAGATAGCCACAAGTGCTGTGACTCTAAGCCAGGTATGCCCATCAGCGTGAAGGTCACGAAGCTGGAATGGTTGAGGATTAGCATAGTAGAAAATAGTTGGCGGTTGTTAAAAAAGTTTAAACACCTGTCAATGAGACATGGCTGGTGCGTTGTTTTTACTGAGTTTGGGTTCTAAAGTCTTGCTGAGACAGAGCCTAGAGAAAGACGGCAGAATGCATCTTTGGGATCATGAAATCCACAATCTCCTTTCAAGTCTATGTCTAAGCACCTATATTGCTTTCACAATAATTTCATTATGGGGCTTTGGCTTCTTTTCTTTATAAAGGATATTGTAGTGAACATTTATTCTTACCTTTTCCAGTTCAGCAATTCCACATTTTAAGAAGTCTGACTAAATAGGATAAAATTTTACCTTTGATAGAAAGATGGAAAAACTTGCTAGAAGGGCTATAATTTTCCCCTTGAGAAGCCTCCAAAGTATATAAAAATGAAGGAAATATACTTCCCCCCACCTTGTTCCAGGAGTGCTGAGCTGTTGGAAGAACTGAGTTCCTTTGATTTCAAGTTTTGCCCCTCTTTTAGAGATCCATGTTTAGGTGGTGATTCCTTCTCTCCCCTTGGGGCTTTCTGGATTTGAGGGGACAAAATATGAAAGATACCTGCATTCCCATGTTTATTGTAGCACTATTCACAACAGCTAAGATCTGGAAGCAACTCAAGTGTCTATAAGCAGATGAACAGATAAAGAATATGTGGTGCATATACAGTGGAGTACTATTGAGCCATTTTTAAAAAAGAATGAGATCCAGTCATTTGCAGCAATATATATGGAGCTGGAGGTCATCATGTTAAGTGAAATAAGCCAGACAGAGAAATACTAGCATTGCATGTTCCCACTTACCTGTGGAAGCTAAAAATTAAAACAATTGAACTGTTGGAGCTAGAAAGAAGAAGTATGGTTACTTGAGGGTGGGAAGCATAGTTGGGAAGAAAAGGTATAGTTAATGGGTACAAAAATAGGAAGAATATATAAGACCTAGAACTTGCTTGCACAACACGGTGACTATAGTAAAAAAACAATTTAATTGTATGTTTTAAAATAACTAAAACAGTGTAATTTGATTGCTTTGAAACTCCAAGGATAAGTACTTTGGGTGATGGATGACCTATTTGACATCATGTAATTATTACACATTGTATACCTGCATCAAAATATCTCATGTAACCCATAAATATATATACTTACTATGTACTCACAAAAAAAAAAATACAAAAATATAATTATAAAATTCAATATCTATAAAACTAATGTATTTGTTAAAGTTGCCACAAATGATTATACAGAATTTCAGTGCCAGATTCTTCCACATACTTAAAACTCATTTTCATTCACAGAGCAACTGGACTAGGTTTAGTCTAAGCCTTCAGACAAGATATTAATTGATGAGGTATTGACTAATTTCCTTATCGATTCTGAAGCTAACAAGACATAAAGACAGAATGTGAATGATAATATAAATAGAGAGATTGGATGCACCATTACCGAGACAGAAGAATTATAGATCATAATCTCTTACTCAATCCTCACTGTAGCCAGGACGTTCTTAGTTTTTACTTGGACAACTGATAGAACTCTTTACTGATAGTTCTGCTTCTCTCTTGCTCACGTACTGCTTATTGTTCATAAAGCATCCATTTTATTTTTAACATCTTAAAAAATATAAGTAGCATGATATCATAATGGCTTATCATCATATCATCATAATGGCTTCCTGTTATATAAAGAACAAAATAAAAAATCTGTGCCACGATGTGCAAGGCACTGTGACATACTCTGATCATAAATACTCATGATCCTCATGATGTATGAGGATTGTCCTGGATTCAGCTTACCTCTTCAACTTCATCTTCTATACTCTCCCACTTGCTCACTTTATTTTTGGTTATTTTTCTCCTCTTTATGCATAAGTTTGTCCCTGCCTCAAGATAACCTGTCCTTGCTATTTCGTCTTCCCACAAATCTTCCCATGACTTATTCTATTTTGATGTGGGTCTATGAAGATACTATTTCATCTTAAACTTCTCTTTTAGTCACATTAAACAACATTTCAGCTTTTAAAACAATCTTTTTAAAAAACAAATGCCTTTATACTTGATGGAATCAAAAAGTAATTCAAAGTCCTGACAGCATCTTTGAAACACCTGAAGAGTTTAAAACTTACTGATATGTAGGTGCCAAGGACTGAATCTGAATGTATGAAACTGGACCCTAGAAACAAACTCTTTTCAGAGCTTGCGGGGGTCTTTCCACGCATAACCATGTTTTGAATGATCAGCCCAAGAGCTGAGTCAGAAACTGTAGATTCAAGGGTGCTCAAAACTCAGTTCTTCTCTTTTTCTTTGTTCTTTCTGGCCCTTTGCTTCTCATCTTCCTTCATTATTCTTTGTCTAGTAGGTTAACTTAATATGAACAGACAGTCACAACTCAACTCAATAAATGTTATAACTGAGATGTAAAATAATTTATGGAGTTTAAAGGAACTCTTCCTTGAAGAGGAGACAAAGAAAATTTTAAGAAAGTGTGATTTATCACAGCCTGAAAAAACTACAAGAGTTAGTCAGATAGAGAGGTGGGGAGAAAGAACTCTGAATAGAGAAAACAGTAAGTGGGGGAAAGGCAACATCGGAAAATGTAGGTATATTTAAGGAATGGTGAGGAATTCAGTGTGACCCTGCTGTCAACTACATGGAGTCCTGGAAACAAGATCAGAGGTGAACTTGCGATTGACAGCTTCTTTTGCCTAGAATTGTTTTCACATCACATTCCTCTTTCCTTAACAAACTCATATTCAGCTCAATCTTATCCTCACCTTCCTCCTCTTGCCAATATCATGGCTTTGCCCACATCTGTGCTCCACTGCCTAACACTTAAGCATTAAATTTCTTTTCTTTAAATGATTCTTCTCATTAACTAGTATGTATTAAATATGCACTGTGAGCCAGAATTTGTAAACCAACTCCACCTTGTCATGCTTGATAATGTGTTTGAATTATTTTAAAGACCTAGATTCTTGAATCTTACACTCATTCACCCCTTAAATCTTTGGTAAACTTGCTCAACTTTCAGAAGGGAGGCAGTACTTTCAGGTGTCTGGGATAGAGGGTTGCTGTAGGAAATAAATGCCAGGTAGATAGAATTAATTACAGCTCCAGACAGAAGGAATTTAGAGAAAACGATCTGATTTTAAAAACGAGAGGCAGTATTAATTTATTTAATTATTTAAATCAGAACTTACCTAGAACACTATATTCTTTCGACCATATTCTTTTCTTCTGATTACCAGAGCATTGCCATTTGGAAGTCTCAACTTAAATCTGCCCATATCATGTTACATGGAACGCTATCTTTGCTGAGCTGGGAATAAAAAGCCCCTAAGAAGGAGCTCCTTGTCTTCCCTGGCTCTCTGTGCTTCTTTCCTGAGATCCAGCATGCAAGCTTTCTTGTTACAGTAGGCCAAGCCTATCTCATACTACATAAGGGAGATTTTTGAAGTCTGTGATTTTATTTTCCAAGTAATCTGGGCACAGCCATGATTCTCCAGAGATCAAGGATAGAGGAACAATGAAAGAAGTGGTTCACTGGAGTATCCCATTGGACCTCTTACTCAAAGGGCAGCATGACCCCAAGGCAGTTCTCAGAGGAAAAGAAGAAATTTTGTTCTTTTCCGTTTTCATGTAATGATATAATAATGATGTTATGGGACTTCTTTCCATTTGCTCTAAAGTTTGTTAAAGCAAAAAATCTTTGTCAACTTTATATTACAATGATGAAATATCTTACAATATAGTGTATACAAATAAAAGTTTCTTTACTTGAGGTTATATATACTCTCGCCTTTAATACATATTTTTATGTTTCTTTTCAAAATATTACTGTCATTTTACACACCCATACACTATATGAAATTCCCCACTTCCCACATTCTTGATAGCAATTCATATGGCTTACTTTTGATACATGTGAAAAGGCATCTCACTATTGTGTGCACTTGTATTTTTCTGCTAGCCTTATTAGCTAATTAAATGAACTTTCTTTTCATGTATTTTTGCCTAATTTCCTCATGTACTGTTACTCTTCTTAGACATTGATTTGAGGTTATTTTTATTGCATGTTTGTATTATAAATATCCTGTCACATATATATTCCACTAATTTTCTTCTTAACCTATTTACCTCAAATGCTATCGTTTCATTTTATACCAACATAAATTATAAAAAGAAGTATATCAATTGCTTCATTTGTGATTTCTACATTTTGTCTTAATTTTTCTTGTGTTCAATACTCTATTACTGCAAAATAAGGATTTTTATATAGCATAAATATAAAATTAAGAATTTATTTTCAATTCATCTGGAATTTATGTTTTTATGGCTCATTACATGGTCGTATTTCATTACATAATTAAGTATATTAATATCTAACTTCAAATACTGATTAGTACATTCTATCTTTTCTAATTAGTAATGTCATATATGTTAAAAAATTAGGAATCTATTTCTGGGCTTTTCATTCTTTTTATCCCAGTGTTATTCTAGCAAAAGTTTGACACAAACTTCTACATTTTAAAATAATTTGTAAGTATAATAGGGCAAGTCTCCCCATCTTGTGCTTCAGACTTGGTTATTTTTAGAGTTTTATTTTTTCATATTAATTTTATTATTTGTTGAGTTCTAAAGATTTCCTCCTACTATTTTAATTAGAGTTCTATCTAATGTATAGATTCATTTGAAAAGATTAGATATCTTCACGGTATTGAGTCTTTTATCCAGCTTTATGATGTAGTATTCTCTTTAATTATGCATTTAATATTAATGAAATATTCCATACTTTTTCATAATTTTTGCTTATCTCTTTATTTTGATCTTGTATCAATCTCGTTGAAATCTATATCGACTAACAAATTCTCTGTAGATTATCTTATCATTTCTATGCAAATTGTAATATCACTCATGCTTCCTATTTTTTAAAATTATCTTTTCTTCTTATTGCATGGCTGTGGCCTTTAGTACAATAGTCAATATGG